AATTTAATCCCAAGAAGACTTTGAATACACCTTTTTTCATATTTATTTTAGAAATGCTTTTTGATCTGATTGTTATTAGGGTATGTAATGTTGATCCTTCTGATCAAATTATAACTGTCCTTTACCTTTTTTTTTTTCTGTGGTTGATGCCACTGCCAATATTTTTTACTTACTACTTCATAGTTTTATACCTCTCCCTTCCTGTCTCCTGGGGTTTTTTGTTTTTTTCTTTCCCTTCATTTCATTTCTTGAAAATCCCATCTCCAGATGTCAGCATCTGTATGAACTCCTGTTTTTGTTTGTCTGGTATGTTTGTTTGAATACTGCTACAGCTTTAGTTTTCAGTAGTAGGAGCATCACTTTTTCATCCAAAGTACTGTAACTTTGGAGGAAAACAGTGTAAACATACCTCAGGAAAAATATCCTGTGTGCCTTTTTTTCTAGTTTCTTACGATGGTTTTATATCTTTTTCTGTGTTCTAAGCTTGTCAAGATGATGAAGCATCTCTGGGGCTAGTCTCAAAACAAAAGACTTCTGCAATGTCAAACTGTAGAAGCTGAAGTTGCCCTTCATTTAACTCTTTCTATTAATTGAAATTGTGCTTACATTGGAAAATCTATTTCAGTTATATCATGAATGTTAGTGGAAAGCCATGGAGCCCCTCTTGCCCCACAGGCTGAAACTTCAAATAGCTGCTGTAAAGCCTGTGAATTTTAAAACACTTCGACTGACTTTGTATTTAATAACTGTATGTAATTCGGTAAAATTTCTGTCTAGAAATCTATATGCTTCCTAAAAGCTACACCTCTGTGTACTGAGCTTTGAAGTAGTAATACTTTTAGAGTCATGGTAGAGAAAAATGATTTAGTTTTTTTTTCTGGGTTTTTCATTACAAATTATGCGTGTACACACACACAGACGTGTGTGTAAGCGAACAAAGATGTTGGGACATCTGTAGATACATCTGTTTTACTGAGTCACTACCAAAGCTTCTCTCATGTTCTGGGATATAGTGGGATGTTATCATAACTCTTACTAACAAAAATAAATTGTGTGTAAGTAGATATTTAGACTATTTTCGTTTGTTCTATCTTTAATTATTTTTTCCTGTTTCAATTAATGTTTTTTATTATCTCTTGCTATGTATAACTGTAAGGCGGGAGTTGAAGTGTGAGAATGAATACTGAGGTCGTAGTTAATGCTTATTTGAATTAATGCTGTTTATTAAATCTCTTTCTTGTAATTCAATTAACAGTTATAAGTATAGTAAAACACTACCTATGAAATTGTTCAGTAGAATTTTTCTTAAAATAGTATTAATTTTTTTCTTGTAAATAATGAAAATGAGATGTGCAAAAGTTCTGTTTCCTGTGTTTCGATTTTAAATTTAAATTAAACTAATCTTACATTACTGAGCTACTTCACTGGAACAGGTGCAAACTGTGTTTTAATATGAAACAAATCTCAAAGAGTTCCACCCAGAGAAATTTAGAATAGAGTAAAATGAATTTTAGGATTAAGAAAGCCAGTGTTACAAAATATTTGTCTGAGTTATTTAAAACTCAAATATAGAGTATAGAGGGAAATATATGGAGCTAAGTTTCCTTAGCCAAGCCTAGGAAGTCTCCGATAAATTCTCTCTTACACTGTCTTAAACTCTCTTACGCTTTAATGCCTATCTCTAAAGGCAAATTGTAATAGCGTGGAACGTTTTCTTTGACTATGTAGTTTTCTTGCAAATTCAATAGTGCAGCACCTTAATTTTGATAATGAAAGTAATTTTCTTTTGAGAAATTTGGTTACTGTAGGAGTTTAAAGCCTGTCTGCAGGTAAGATTTAATTTAATCCTTAGAGTATTTAAGAAGCATTCCTGAGACTGTCACCAAAAAAGTGACAAGATTAGCACTTGCAGTTTGTTGACAGGATGCCTCATAGAAAAGACATTTATCTGTAAGGGCATCCGTTTTTTTTTAAAAAAAGGAATAAAGTCTGTCTTAAGGTTTTTGAATGTACACACTTTGTGAAATACAGAAGGAATAGAGCAGTCACTGTCATAAATTGAGTTCAGACATGCTCAAAAGTCATTATTCAGCAATAAAATGGTATCCTTACATATATGCTTGTACCCGTACATATGTTGAAGAATGACAGAGGTTACCAGAGGGTTTGTTGTTCTTTCTGGGTTTAAAAACCCAGGAAGAACTAAATCATATCTTGTGTTCCAAGATTTTAGCATGTGAGGCTGTTGAATCTCTTTGTCTTCTGTACTGTTTTTGACAGAACTCTTTGTGATTAGCTGGTCATAAAATCTTGTCTGCATTAGCAGATCTTTACTAATCCTGTGCCCATCCCAACAAACAAACAAATACTCTGTAGTACTGGTTTTGCTCTCACATACCCCAGTGTGGTCCTCTTCTCATCAAAGTACTTCTGTCAGATTTATATAGCACAAATAGAAGAGTAATCGGATCCTTGCTTTTTGTTTTACCTATGGACTATGCATTGAATGACTTACTTTAAAGCAGTTTTGATTCAATGAGGGTGTTTTTGATTTGCTGCCTGTTCTCTTTACCTCTGAGGAAAGAATTTTGTAAATGCTGAATAATTTTAGAACATGTTTTCTTGGTTAAGGGTTGGATCATATTTTAAATTAGTTTTAAGAGGAAGGAAATCGTGTAAATGCTATGGAATTCAGATAAGCACTGTGCATAGGAAATAAGTACTTTAATTTAGGGTGCCTAGGAGTGGTAGGTCAAGCTGCTGATAATAAAGGACCAGATCTTAACTTTTTTTCAAGGAACGTGTAGTCAATATTCGATCTCCTGTTTTATTTCCTTTTTACTTGAGAATTTATTTTGGTGAAGCTGAAATGTGCAATTGCTTAAGTATTCCACAGGGTGTCATGAGGTAGTTGTTGGAATCATTAATACTTGGATGAAAGTAAAGAAACCTAGTGTGTAGTCCTCTGAATGCCAGTTAATGTAATTTTAGATGTGACTAATACACATGCCATAAAATAAAAAGTTCTTAACTCATTAACACATGTATCTTATTTCTGTATCTGTATAAAATATACACACGAAAAAATATTATGAAAGGTCATTTACAAGAGTGAGGTATTCTATATCAGGTCTTCCCAGAAAACCTTTCTATATATACCTTAGTGTTTTACAGTTTACAGAGCAAGCAGAATCTTTGGCCCAGTACTCTAACATACCAAACTGTGTATGTATATTAAAAAAAAAAAAGTACGATACTTGTACTTGCTGTACTGTCAGGGAGAATTTCTAACTGGATTGTGCACCTCCAAATTATTTTCAAACTTTATTTTACTTTATTTTTTATTAAAGTCTTTTTAAAATTTATATTTATTTAAACAAACTTTGTGCAGTGCGCACAGCTGTACTGTGGATTTTAGGATTTGTTATAGCTATATATAATGTCAAAACGTCAGACTTTTTTTCCTGTAGGTGTATAGTGCAGTAGGATGAGAATTTTCACCAAATTTTTACCAAAGACCCTTAGTAAAGGGTGCTTGATTATGGTTGTAAGCTTTTGTATATGGAGACCAAATTTTTATTGATGTAACTGTTGACTTCTGCAAAGCTGCACATGCATTGAGTTCAGCATCAGATTTGTAAAAGAATTTTTAAATGCAGTTTAACAGTAATTATGGACAATCTTGCTTCTGGTAAATCTGAATGGCTTCAAATGGAAATGCCATTGGCCATGAGAAAAATTGCATTACATTATGAAATGAACAGCAAAACTTCATTCCTTTAGGAAGCAAAAGAATGTGATCCAAAGTGTGAAATCACAGGTGAATGTAAGAATTTGCATCTCTCTTGACACTACTAATTTGTCTAATGTTAACTGTGTATTTAAAATGAGTTTTTAACAAAATATACCTTATGGATTTAGGCATATTTTTTTGTGTTTTGTAAAATGGCATGCTAAAATAATGGACTAGTTAATTTTCTTGTTACTGCTTCTGTGTGCTGAGTATTATGGAACAAATTTTGGTTTTATGCCAGTGGCATAATAGTGAGTGGCACTGGGAATGCAGGATGAAGGGAGGTTGATTTATCTGCCAGACGGTTAATAAAATTTTACACGTGTATCATACCACATGTCCTCTCTGCATTATGTCCAGGAGGCCACAGTGCTTTATAGCCATAGAGGATGATCGCCACGACAATTGGAAGCTGTGTGCTTTTATTTAGATTTGCTTCCAAAATCCATGTAGGCCTGTGGGCAATTTTTTGTGCAAAACCTTTCTAACTTAACCACTATAAATCATGACCTGTTTAACAAACCAGTGTGTTTAGAGGTGTGTTTCAGCGCTCACTAGAGGAAGAACTGAACCTGTCTGAAGCAGTTTTAATATTCAAAATAGTGACACCCCTTAAATCTTGATCAAGATGAAAAAGATGAATGGAACTGGTGGCCTTCGGGTTGTGGGTTTGAGTTTTTTTTCTTTGTTTCTGGGTTTGGCTTTTTGAGATGCAAACATATCCTGATCTCTGTCCAGATGGGTTTCCTTTATAGCATCATAGGAGAAGAGGTTTTTAGATAGGTAGGTTATGATCTTTCTTCTTCCTCAGTTTAAGGCTTACTGAACTCTCTTTGCCTCTCCTTTTCTTTGTCCTTATTGCAACTAGAATAATCTGAAGAGGTAATTCCACACATACTTTGAATTACTGAGATAATGCAGTACCTTAAACTACAGTGATTAATATCAGGAGATATTTAAATATAATATAAAAACACCTAATTGAACTGAGATTTTGTAGAAGATGATTTTTTTTTAGCAAAGAAAAACAAAACAAAGGACAGAAGTTAAAAGCTGTTTATATTACACTGTGTAAAAACTTGGCAGTATACTGAGATGTATGTATCATATGTGTGGTATGTGTACATTCAGTTGATCCTAGCACCCAAGTCCCTCTTTGAATGTTAAGACAAAGTTGATGAATATTATCATCTGTTTATCTTTTCAGATTGAAAATCTACAGGAGCAACTTAGGGACAAAGACAAACAACTAACTAATCTAAAAGACAGAGTGAAGTCCTTGCAGACGGATTCTAGTAACACAGACACAGCACTAGCAACCTTAGAAGAAGCTCTGTCAGAAAAGGTAGGGTTTCTTATGGAACAGCATCATGTGCTGCTCTTGTGGGTGAAGTATATCCAGAAAATGTCATCTTAAGCTGGTCTGGCACCTGTAACAAAGCCTATAGGGTCTTGTCAGGAAAACGGGTGGCTCTATAAGGGTAGGATCAGCAAGGAATGAGTCCCAGCTCATGAACTGAAACAGGACTCTGAGGTCAAGCAAGGTAGCCTTTTAAATGGAGAAGGCATAAACGGCCCAGGACATGCGAGGATTTTCCCCTAGTCAATGGGTCAAGTGGTGGTTCCCTGAAAAAACTGAAAGGCAGAGACACCTGACTTAAAGAAGGTGGAATTCTGAGTATATTTATGACTTTGTGATCTTGATGGTCTTTTTTTTTTTTTCTGTTAAGCAGAGCCTAACTAGAGAGCCAACAGCAAGTGACTGTACTGACTGTTACCTTGGCTTGCTGTTAGTACTGTTGGTTTCCTACACTTAATTTATAAGAAAAAAATGTATTTCATAAAAAAAAATGGAGAATTACTTTTCTTTTTTCCCCTTGAAAAACTATATGTCTTTAATTTGAAAATACCTAGCAGAAGGGATAAATCTAGACTGGTTAAATTAGTGGCAGCATTCCTACAGGTTTCAATGAGATCAGGGTTTTTCTTCCAGTTAACTTTGAATACAAGGTAATCCAAGTGGATTTATATGCCAAAAAAAATGGTACAAGTATCCACTTGTTTTAGAACTAAACTGAAAAAGGTATTCAATTCCTTACCCCTAAGTTTGGAGCCTTTCCTAAGCACTGAAAACTCTTAACTACAATAAAGATTATTTTACAATAAACAAAAAATAAGTTTACTCTTACTAACAAAAAAGTTTGAAAATCAGAATATGTGCAAGTGCTATCAGTTTCCCTGATGTTTTAACAAGAACCTTTTCAAACAATATCTCAGCTCTTGGACTGGCCCGAAGCAGCTCAAGAGGTTGCTTTCATGAAGCTGATATTTATAAAGTTGCTCCTACTGTAGCAGCATACAGCAGATAAGCAACTGAGTATGTCTGATAATAGAGCTATATGCTGTGGCAATTCAGTTCCTGCTTCTGTGATAAAGTGCAAATAGATTAGACCTGTGAGGTCCTAGATTAGTGCATAAGGAAAGCTCGCCAATGCAAATAAGTCTGAAACAAGAACACATTGTTGGGATTTCTTCAAGTTAGCTGTTAATCAAGTAAAACATGGTGTATTAGGGCCTTTTAACACGTTTTTGACATTTAGCCTTATGTAGCTGACAGATAAATTAGTCTTCTTTTGTGATTGACTGAGAAGAAATTTATACTGTTCATTAGTAAGATGAAATAGTGTTATGTTTAATTCGTTATAGAAGAAAAAAGTCATTTAGGTAAATAAATCTTCAAGAAAGAATTGGTATAAAATTAAGTCTGAATATAACTAGATGGATTGTGAAGGTTTATTAAACTATTCCACTTTGTGGATGCTGGCTTTTTAATGTTAATATTCAAGAAATTAGGTATTTATATTATTTGTTACTAGGAATAACTTTTCATGCACAATCTATATAGCAGGTTAAATTATATTTTAAACAGGTTTAATTACAGATAGCCTGCTACCTTTGGTTTTGACCTTATCTATTTTTATTGTAAGCTAAGTGGAACATAGTGTGTCATCAATAGATATGGTACTCTGTTTAAACTGACCTATTTCCAATTCAAATGCAATTCTAGGGACTTTATTTTACTGTAAATATTTCTTTCCAAATAGCATTTGCATCCTTCAAGTGTTGGTGGAACATGGTTTTGAAGACTGTAATCAAAGCTTGACAAAACCATGCTACTGCATCTGCTTTTTAACATTTCACCCTTTGAATTCATCACGCAATGCTTGACTGCTGATTTTCAGCAATCCTTATAATAGTAACTGGAAGTCAGCAAAATATTTGAAAATGTGGCTGAGTTTAACAGTAACCCTATGCACATTTAATCAGATGCAGAAGAAACTTCCTTTGGGTATCACAACTTGTATCAGGGTACTTTTTCTTCTCTTGGACAAATTATTATTTTTTTTTTTTCCTCAACTCAAAATGTAGTACATCTAAACTGTGAGTTCTTGATAGTTAGCAAGGTTTGGGACCTTGAAAACTTCTTACAACCACTATAGAGGTTGCTAGTATTCAAAAAACGTAATCAGATTCAAGCTGAGTAAACTAATCATGGACTCTCTGTTTTGAACTCTTATTCAAGCCTTCAGTTGCTTGTGAATACAGGAAGTTACTGAGATGAATAACTTTCCATGTCTGTAACAAAAGTAAACAGATATGTAATGAAGTTTCTGCACTATGTTACTCTTATCAAGTATTTAAAACTTTGATCTGATTGTTTTGAAATCAGGGGATATCTTACATTGTCTTTAATACCATTAACTCAGTCATCCTCTGCTTCTCAAGGTTGATTTGTAAAGAAATTTTATTCTGCTTCTCAAGGTTGATTTGTAAAGAAATTTTATTCTGTCTTTTCTTAAAATGATTCTCAACTTTTCCATTTTGCAATTCTTACCCTTGTTAGGAAAGAATAATAGAGCGCTTGAAGGAGCAAAGGGAGCGAGATGACAGAGAAAGACTTGAAGAAATTGAATCTTATAAAAAAGAAAACAAAGACCTGAAGGAGAAAGTTAATGCTTTACAAGCTGAACTGACAGAGAAAGAGGTCAGTCTTTTCAGTAATATCCATGTTCTTCTATGTTATGACGAAAGAAAGTGTGTTAGGATTGCTTTTGAATCATTAAGTACTGATTTTTGCCACTTCAATGATCGGCTTCTGAATGACTGTTTTCTTAAGCATTCTTTGTAGTCCTCACTTTTGTACATAAAATATTGCTTCAATTTTTGGACAGTTGTGTCATTATCTTTTGTCTCTACATAAGTCTTCAGTAGGTTCAAATCTTCCATTGCTGCTTCTGTTTTCATTTGTCGGTGAGAACAATAGACTTCACAGTAATTGTTTCCCTGTTTCACTGCATGCCAGTTCCTGTGGGTCCAGTTGGTTGTATTCTCAAAAAAGTGTCTTCTGCTATCAATGCTTATGTTTGTGTCAACTCTTTTTGGGGAAGGGGAGGGGGAACAGGATCCAAGTGTTACTGAGTTGGCAATAAGTTAGTGTCCTGGTGACTAGGAATTAACTTTTTACTCTTGGTCATTTTCCAGTCTAGTTTAATCGATCTCAAAGAACATGCATCTTCATTGGCATCAGCAGGGCTGAAAAGAGACTCCAAACTTAAGTCTTTAGAAATAGCCATAGAACAAAAGAAAGAAGAGTGTAGTAAGTTGGAAGCACAGTTGAAAAAGGTAAGTTCCATCTTAAAGCAAACAACAATCAAAAAACCAACAATCAACATTTCACCTTCTCATTTTGAAGAGTTGAGCTTATTTACTCTTCTGGAGTAAATCTAAAAAATCTACCCATCAACTGCTGTTTGCTGATGCTTGCATCAAATACTGCTAACATTTCTTAAGAGGCTTGTAGCAAAGCCACTAGTGAGCCTCAGAAGTTATACTGAATACCTATATGAGAGAATTCTGAGGCGCTGCTTCAAATAGGTGAACTTGAGAGCAGGACTTCGGAGGGAAGGAAACTTATCAAACCAGTAATTTTTGTATATATGAATTTATACTACTATTAGAAGTAGACATAAATGTTTGTAGCACGGGAAAAAAATTAAAGGCTTATCAATGAAATGCTGCACTTGATAATTAAAAAAAAAATCTGCTTACAAAGTGGAAACTCTAGCTAGGTTTTACTTTGGCATTATTTGGGCTTCATTGGTGAACGCATTTGTGCTGATTTAGCAAAACAACGCAGAGTTTATCTCAGCTAGCAGTTCAGTATTTCTGCTCAGCAAGTAGTGGAAGCAAGCATTTAAAGGAAAACATGCAAATCCTACATTTTATAGCATGATTTTATTTAAATTGATGCATTAAAATAGCTTTTGCTTAAATGATTTGCAAGTTTGTTGATGCATTTTCTACCATATGTTGTTTCTTTGACCTTTTTCTGTGTCATTTAATAATGTCTGCTCTCATTGTTTGAACACCAGTCTCATGATGTATTTGATGGATTTAGGCATTATGTTTGCCTTCTGCAATTCATGACTAAGTGTATGTCAAACATAAGGGGATTTTTTTAATATTGATACCTAATGTTTCATTTTCCAGAAAAGAATATTTATTCTACAAATATTACCACTGTTAGGATAATGCTCTGAGGTTCTTTTTAGCCAAGTTGCGTAGTATCCTGCTCTGTGTTTAAGCATGGTTTCAATATCCTCACCTGGGAAGAAGGTATTGCAAAGCGTAAATACCAGACTGTTAACCTTACACTTGTCATGTCTTTTAATTTAGAATGAATATGTGCAATTAGGTTCCTGTGTAGTTGTGGAGAGGAAAGAACAGAAATATTTTTCAACAAATGTGTACAAAAGCTTTTAATGGAAACATAAGTACATTAAATATTTAATATCTTAAAAATCCTATTGATATTGGAAGTAAAATAGCCAAGGAAGCTATTTCTCTGGATGTCCTTTATTTTGTTTTCTTTAGTTAGAAAATTTAAAAAACCCAACAACTTAAAAGCAGAGATCATTTAGTCAAAATCCTCTTGAAGGACTTGAAATCTGAAGTCAGTATTTTATAACTGTACATATAAGCACATCATAGAGTCATGGAAAAATAAGTACTTAAAAAGTCAGTGTCTGGGACGTCTTTTGTATGAAAAGAGATTATGTTCCCTGTGTACAAATACAAAAGATTATTAAATAAAAGTTGAAAACATAATAATTTTGTTATATCATAAATACAGCATAAAGCCCCAATGGAAATTCACCTAGCATTTGTAGGAGACCAGATATTTCCACAATAAAACGTAGTTACAACCTTCTTTGTGGGCATGTTTAGTTCAACAGAAACAGTGACTGTTAATGATAGTAGACTCCATTTTCAATTCACATTTTCCCTAATAAAATACTTTATGTTCAAACCTGTAAATATCCTGTGTTAAAAGTAATTGGTCCCCAGAAACCTACCTTCACCATGTTTTCACTCCTTAGGAAACCAACTGAAACAGAAATGTGGGTTATTCTTCCATATGTCTGAGTTAGAGTAGGAGGGAACATCGACATAGTTGAGAGTAAATTAACCTGCATGTCCCATAAGTGTGCTTATGTATCAACATTACCCACTACGGAAGCTAAAGGAATGGGCCTAGTTTATATCTTCTTTTTTTCCCCCCAAAAAAAAGTGACTCCATGGGGCTATCTGTTACTATGAGAAATCTGAATGCATCTTACACATTACTCCTATTTCTACTAATGTGTAGAGAAGGCTCTTTATGGTATTGTAAAATCATTATAGATTCATGTTTATTTATATCTTTTAACAAATTATAGTAATAAATATAAGAGAATAATTAGTGCACGTTTCCTAAGAGTTAGTTTTCTATGAGCATTGATGGTAATAAGTACTAGGCCTGAAAAAAATGTGCAAGGGACAAGTCCAAACAAAAATTTGTAAATTAAAAATAAACGAATTATTTTTAAAGTTTCTCCTCCCTGTGCTGCATTTTGGTACACAAAATAATGTTTAAAACCATTAAATATTTTTTTAACAAAGATTACGGTTTGAAATTCATTAAGTTAAAAAAAAAAAACATAAGACCCAGAAGAATGATCAATGCTTTGTTTTTGCCCAAATTCCAGACTTTGTTGATTTACTTTATATTGCTACTAGTGAAAGAACGGCAGGAATTACCTAATAGGTAGCTAAGGGGTTTTTTTATATATATATGTGTGTGTATATATATAATCTTATTATCCACTCTAGAATTTCCTTCTTTTGTTGTTTTTCATTGTCTTAAATTTACTTGCTTACTGACATATTTGCAGTTGCTAAAGTACTTTTTGCCAAGCTGTACTGTTAGAAAGTCATTCTGCATAGAAAATTCAGTCTTGTGTTAAGCAAAAGGAAAGTAATAAATTTAATGATACAATTTAATTAATCTTTTATTATTACTGTCTTTGAAGCTTTGGAGATAAATTGCAGCCTCAGCCAAAAGCACTTCTCGTGATTCATTGCTTGAGACCAGCACTTAATGTATCATCAAAAGTGGACACCTTTCTTTATTTCATGGGTTATTTAACTTGAGAAAGAGAAAGTAACACAAACCTTAAATTTCTTACTCCAGCTATTCTTTTTTAGGAGCCAAAGTCAACATTTATGTTTCCCCAGTGCCCCTCACTTTCACCAAGGAATGTTTAGAATCTTAAATTTCTACTTTTTTTTAATGACAAGTTCTTCTGTGCAAATGCACTGGGTTTGTTGAGCTAATGCTGTTTTCCTGGATCTTTCCTTCTTTTCTTGTCTGCGCTTCACTCCCTTCCAACTTTGCAATGTAGCAAGCTGAACAGTTGTTCAATCAGATGTACAATCCAGTAAGTTCTTTTTTCAAATGCCCGCTGTAACATATGAAAGCATGAGGATCCATTACCTTACTGTGTTGTGCTCTTCCTCTGTGGAGCTTTGCAGATTACTTCTGATGCTCACTATGCTCTATACATTATATCCAAATAAATGTACTTTGTGGACTTCAAGGCCAACTTAATAATATGAAAAGTATTAAATAGGTACATATGGTATTTCTGAGAAAATCAACATTCAAGCCTTTAGGTCCTCAACTTCTTCATTAGAAAAAGCATGCAATTTCTTTTTCTTTGCTTTGCTTTTTAATTCCTCCTTCTGCAGTACTTTATTTGATCCTTCAAACTTAAATAACTTCTAATTTATTCAGTTTGTCACAAGTAAGTTGATTATGTGAATAATAATGTTTAGGAAGTGATTGGTACTATTTTCACAAGTCTATATGATTAAAATAGTTAAGATCAGTTTTACTCATAAAAGAAGGTATACATTCAGCATATATAAAGAATATGAAAACATATTTCATTGAAGAAAGTACTGTAGTATGAAAGGATGAATGCAAAGGGCAGTGTTTGAAAAAGCCAAAGACTATTACTTTGGCTTGTTTAGCATGGTTATTCTTGCCAACGACAGCTATAGTTGCACAAGATCTACCCTTTTGTCTTGACTGTGTTTCTTTTTTAGTTGGAGGAAGATTGGTAGCAGACATTCCCTCTGCAGAGAACAGTCTTCATTTATTGGTTGAGACTGTTACTTTTACTGTGCTGGGAGCATCCCATGACAGAAAAAATTGTGTAACTGTAATAGCAATTTACAGGCTGTAGTTTACATATTAATCATAGTTGGAATTTCCATGCAATTAGGGTACTATATATAGAAGAACTTGTTTTGTAGCTTAAGTAATGTGATATTGTGCATTGACTGAAGTCAATGGATATTTTACTATTAATGTCAGTGCACCAGGACTCCAGATTGGGAGTCTCTTATTGCTAAGTTTTGTAGCTTCTAACCGTGTAATGGATATTGCATGACTTACATATGGGAAAAGAGAGTCCCACAGAACATGCTGTATTTACTTTTACAATTACTGGTTAACTGTTTTTAGAATCCATTTATAAATCTGTTATAAGTAGCATCAGACTTGATATTACCACCTCTACCATCCAGTACACTGCTGGTCAAACAGCTTTTCCTGTTAAATAATCCCCTTCTTTTTTCTGTATCATCTTGGCTCTCCTTTGTGGTAGTTATGTTTCTATTCTATCATTTGCACTCCTGCTGTGCGTGCCTTCTCAGACTGATGTGTTTTCTGTGCTAGTTTTTCCACTTGATTTTCATAAATGCTTTCAAGTCAGTATTTCAATATTAGTTAGTCTGCTGTATGGAATTATGTCTGTTACTTCCTAGTCTATTGTGTGCAGTATTCCAAAGCCAGTCAGTCTTTTTTTTTATGTTGTTTTTTTCTACCTTTACATGCTTAATTTTCAAAAGGACAGCCTCTTGGCAGCTCCGAAATAATGGGAGCTAGATCCTTTTCCTTTGGCACTAGGCAGCAGTGGCATGAGACAGGTTTAACTTTTCTTGCTAATTTTCTTTCTTCTACTTACGTATATGAGTTTACTTTTAACAATGTAGGTACAATGATCCTTTTCTCCCCACAAACCAGCTAAAATCTTGACATGAAATAGTGATTTGACTGACGTCAATGGCAACATGTTCTTTGAGTGCCACAAGACCAACTTTTCACTTTTCTTCTTTGAGATGGCTTAATAGCAATTAGTGAAAACATGTTTTTTGTATTGCAAATCATTATGCTTTAATTAATAGAAAATTTCCTTGCCTTTTTTTGACAATAATAGTCTTATAAAATACAAGATGGCAATCTAATCTTAAAATGCTGAAATTTTAATGCTCTTTTGTTTACATGTGTCAGAGAAGTAACAGGCAATCTCTCCCAGCCCATGCAGTAATATACCTCTTTTTTTTTTGTGGTGGAATGTGTTTTGTCTATTATGTCACAGAAGTTTCAACTCTTAACGTTTTCATTTATTCCTGAATCTGATGTTTTTAAAGTGCAGCGAAAGATAGAAGTGTTTTATTCTTCTGCTCTTTTGGGTAAGAAAGTGGAGATGATATGGAAGGGATGTAAATCCGACATACTCTATAGCAAGTGATTTCACGATGTATTCACCTGTGTGAATAAGATGTGAACTGGGTGCACATTTCTTCGTGTTTTGAAATGCAGTCTTTTTGAAATACCTAATAAATTCTTTTGCAGAGTTGATTATAAGAAGTTACATGATTGTTTTTGTACTGTAATGAAAGTATAATGATGTACTTAGTTTGGAGTTCAGATGAACCTTTTTGTGGATGATAAAGAATTAATTTTCCAAATCCTACATCAGAGTAGTATCAGTTTAAAATTTAATGTACTTGCAGAATCCACTCTAAATTGCTTAGACCAGACCCTAAAGTTAAATGAAAAAAACCCCCCAACTTGTATTTTAAAGAAACTATAAAAAAAAAAGCTTTTTTTTAGTTTATTATTGAAAGTAATGAAATTTGAAGGATCTGACAAAGTAATTTCTTGCATGTAAATCCTGGTGGCTTTTTTTTTAAAGTACTTGGTTGAGTTCTCTGTGTGTGTCTGAAGCTTTAGAAATGAACTACTGTATCCATCCATTTCTGTATGCAGAATAATGCATGCATGATTGTACCATAAAATTTCAATAGACTAAATAATTCATGTTGCATGTCTGTGCCACACTATTATGGTGTTTCTGTAGGAAATTTGTGGTTTACGTAAGTGAACGTTACTTCACTTCCTGAAGTATTTATAGTACTTACTAAGCAAATATCATAACAGATACATAATTACTGTAAAAACTAGTGAAAATCTAATAATAGTGTGATATGCTTTTCTTGTTGAATTGTAAAATTAACATGCAACACAGAATATTGATGGGCAAATCATCATACACCAAGTGTGCTAGTTTGAAACTAGCCTAATCTGCAGATGTATGTATTATCATTTACAGATACAGATTAAGTGATCAATGACTTTGCTGCTGAAAGGTATGCCATGAACCAGTCAGTCTTACCATAAAAGCCCCATAAAAACAGAAAATGTATTCTTCCGAAGAAACAGAAGTGATCCAAACTTGACTCCCACCACTTGCAAAAAAGTCTAGGAAATCTTGTCCTGTCCAGATGGGAGCAGGGTTGATATCAACTAAGCTACCTTTCATCTCCTTTGGGTTTACTGTTTGACCTCAGAAGTCAAGTTCCATCTGTTAAGAAATGTCCCCTGATCTGTATATAACAATTAGGGGAAAAAAAAAAAAAAAAGACTAGTTCAGATCCAAGCACGTCTTTCAAAGCCATAAAATATAACAGGAGTCTTATAAGTAATTTTGTGCCTTTGTCCTGGGAATATCAGATGGGTTGTGTTTTGCTCTCTTGTAGCGTCAGAAGCTTTGTTTACAGCATAAGGATTCCCTTCAAGGGACTCATTTCAAGTTGGAGTACTGCCTGCAGAAAGCTCTTTTTCAAATGTTTTATGTTCTTGCTCTGCCTTTATAGCTAACTTTCCTTCTTCCTTAAGGCAGTGCCCTCATAGAAATCTGATTCCTGCCAATAGTCCCGAAATATTCTATAGAAAGTGCATGTAAAAGTAGAGGCAACCAGTTTAATTGGTGGTTTGGAATATTGAGAACATAGTATTTTATGTTTTTAGGTATTAGAGTTATCTTATTCTTGTTTATGAACTAAATGCTTGTATTGGTTTGTATATGACATATGGATAACTGTGCTGCACCTCAAAACACTGTATAGGGCGAATATTGATCACATTGGATTTAATCACAACATACTGGTTCCACTTCATGTTGAAAACCATGGGGGATGTACAGTGATCAAGACTGTGCTACAGAATTTTCCAAAATCACATCCCATGATTATGGAATAGCACGGGTACCACAGAAAGCACAAGAACTGAAAATACTTCTGCAACTTTCCATTAATTTCTTTAATGCTACTGAGCAAGGATTATAGGACTAAACTGAAGAATATAGTCTATATGAGTTATATTTAGTTCAGTATGTTTCTGAGCTGCTATGTGACAAGAGTATTCTGTGATAATTGAATATTTGGCACCTTTAAACTGATGACACTGTCATATTGTTGCCCAATTATCTGTTTTCATCGGAGAAAGTCCCGTGTGGCAATGAAAAGCAAAAAAATAAAGATAGGCTTTTCTATCCATTCTGCATTGCTTCTTGTCCTGGGTTAAAACTAGGCTAGAGGTGCATGAAGGGGGAAAAGTTTGGGCTAAAGCTGAGAGTTTGCATATGCTAAAGTGAAGAAAAACTGGCTGGAGGCAGGAAGGTGGATGTTTTGCCTGTTGGTGAAATGATGGAAGCAAGACTAGTAAACAGGTGAAGCATACACCAAAATAAACGGAAGAGAAAGGAAGGCAAGAGGGAGGAATGCACAAGAGTGATAGTCTCTAGAGGGGAACTGTTAGGGGACTAGGTAGCTCAGTGGTTTGAGCGCAGTGCTGACAACAATGACAACACCGAGGTCGCGGGTTCGGTTCCTAGGAAGCTCAGTCCCAATGTGTTGCTTGGTCTAGTCGAGAGGTGGTGTCCCTGCCCAAAACAGGGAGGTTGGACTAGATGATCTCTAAGGTGCCTTCCAGCCTAGGCCATTCTGTGATTCTATGAAATTCTGAATTTACCCTTAGGAGGAGAAATATGAAGAGCAATAGGGAGCAGCATGCTCTTTGCATAGTTAGTATCTTAAAGGTAGGAGTTGGGTTGTATTTTCTTTATTTTTCTAGAGTGAACTTACCTTTACCAACCTTATGGAACTATTTTTATTCCTTACAAAAGAACACTTAGTGTTCGTTTTGAAGAGATAGAATATTGTCTAGTATCTTAATAGAGCTGATGGAAAATTGAAGTGATTTTTGGCCTGGAATTGGTACACAGTCTCTCACATAATTGGCTCTGAGTATTACATTTACTTCAAAAATTACAAAGCTAGTTGAAAGTAAATTTCCTGACACAATTAACACCTGGTATAAAATAAACCAAAGCCTATTATTAAGCAGGAAGACTTATGAGGATGAAAAGAATGTGCTGAGAGCATCTCACGCAAACAGTAAATTCAAGATACTCTTTGGATGTTACCTTTAAATGAGCTCTGTGTTAGTAAAGTTCTGTATCTGCATAGAATTCAGACCTGTAGTATGTATTGTTATCCAAAACCAGAGAATTTGAAGAGCAAGGCCAGTAGGTTTAGTAGGCTTTTCATGTCATTTCCTTGGCTTATTTTGGCAATAAAATATTTCTTCTGAATAAAAATCTCACAACAGGATAAATAACACCTAAAAACTGCTTTTTTTTCTTATTATCCTCATGCTTAAATGATATGTTACATGCAGCCCTCCTAAGTTTATTCTCTAGTAATATCCTTTTTTTTCGCATTTGTACTAAGACCAGACTTTATCCTTATTTATACAGAAAATTTTAACCATTGCAAAGAATATGAACCTTCTAGTACCTGTAGTTTATATTAATTCTTTCCAAACCACGCATGTTTCATTTTGATCTGTATTTCTTTCATTGCTTGCTTTCATTGTCTATTCCCTGAAATTAAGAAGGATAAGTAAGTCCACATTTCAGTGCATAATAAGATAGTCAGAGGACCTTCAGTTTTAGATATCCTGATTTTCTGTAAAATTCCTGTCTGTTAAGAGAATGTTATCTGAATTTTCTATGTTTAATGTGCACTGCCTTAAACTACTTGTTTTTTCCTTGCCTGCTCTTTGAAGATGCCAATTAGGAATAATGGGAAGCAAGGGGTAGGCTAAGCATTGCAGTGCATTGTTGTTTCCATCTGTCTGTGATTATTCCAGCCAACGGTTTAAAGCACTCGATTCCAGATCATGCTCCCATTGAAGTTAATTGGGGTTTTGCCATTAGGTTTGATGGGAGTAAGATTGGGCTCTGCACTGTTGTTGTTGTATTCATTGCGTTCTTTCTTGTCTGTGAAACTGCCACCCATCCATGCATGTGTTTGCCAGGTTTGTGCCGTTTCCACCAATGGGCTTGTTCTTCTGATGTTGCAGGTTAAGTATTAACGATAAGAGAAAAAGGATTATTGGGTAAAATGTCTGCTGAAAGTAACTTTTTAGTTTACTGGTTTGCCTTCTTGAAACAGCACTGCATACAAACTATTTTTTCTTTTAAATTCTTCATATCAAACTGCATGTGAAACTTCTAGTGATACAGATTACAATACGTATATATATGTGTGTATGTATATACACTGACAAAGTGTGTGTGTATATATATGGGGAAAGAGAAAGTACGATTTAGTAAGAAATTGCCTATGTAATTGAAAAACTTCAAAAGCTTAATGTGAATTAAATGAATTACAAGGTGGTTTTTTAAATTAAAAACCACCCTTAAAAGATGGTTCCCCCTTCAAGATGATAGCATTTGACTGTAATTTTAGACTACGAAGATATTTTCATTCCTTTTTATAATACTTCCTTAGAAAATGTTGTCATCGGACAGAAATACCCATAATCCTTTTTAATAAAAATTTGAACTCCAAGACTGAAGATGTAAAGCTCTTAAAGCTATGTGAGTTATTGTCATCCTTATTTTCTTTAAAATATTGATTCTGAAGGCTCATGAGGCTGAAGAGGAGGCACGGATGAATCCAGAATTTGCAGACAGAATCAAACAGCTTGACAAAGAGGCGTCCTACTATAGAGAAGAGTGTGGCAAAGCTCAGGCTGAGGTTGACAGACTTCTAGAAATACTCAAGGAAGTAGAGAATGAGAAGAATGACAAAGATAAGAAAATTGCTGAGTTAGAAAGGTAATTCTTGTATTATTTGTCTTGCATTCAGTGGCATTTTTATTTCATTTATCTTCACTGCAGAGCAGAGAAGTAGAGTAGAAAATGTTTTTCTAACAGAGCATTGGTTATGTCTTGTAAAATTGAATCAGAAATGAAAAAAAAAAAAGCTGCTTGAGAACTGCATCTTCTGCCTGCTGACTTTGGAACTATTTAAGGTTTCCACTTTTTAGTTGTTTCCTTAAAAGGAGCACATGTGGGAAAAGCCATATGCAATTTTCAGTGACAGCAACCCTCCCCGAAAACCTTCTTGGGGAACAATCCTCTCTTTCTAGTAACTGGAAAATCAAAACTGTCCCCACACATGCTTTTTTCCAGCGTGAACAGCATCATGAGTTCTCAGAGGTCCTGAAAAGTATTAGTGAGTATTTCTAACCAGTCTCATGACAATTTAATAATAGTTCTAACTATTCCTCAATGTTTCTGTAGGCTTTGTCTGCTTCAAATGAATATTTTTCTGATGTTGGCCACACAGTGTTTTATTTCTGGGAAGGTTGTGCAGTCTTTCGTTAAGGCACACAGGAGGGTTTTGGGATCGATCCATTTGTCTTACACCCTTCAGAATAAATGATTTCTTGGAACATTCTTCATATGGTATGCTGCAATTTATTTCATTGATAAGCAGTTTATGTGGGTCTGGTTTCCTTGTCCCTTTCCTGTACTTTCTAGAAGAAAGAAACAATTGTATGTTTTCAAATATTTTACGTAATTGTTTTCTAGTGATGAAGTCAGAAGAAAAGTGCTTCATGGTTCTAATTTAAGAGATCTCATTGTTGTGATTATTGCTATATTTTCAGTCAAGATGTAGCACCCCATTAGGGTGAATTACCATGAAAGAGGGGAAGATCTGACAGAAATGCTGGTTACCTTAGGGAGAGGAAAACAGCCAGCTTGGAAAGAAAGATATGTAGAGCATTTTTCAACTGAAAAGTTGATAAGTTCTCATCAGTATCCGTTGCCAAAACTTATCTTTCTCTGCAGACATTTGACTAAGGTTTAATAATTATAATAATCAATGGTATATAGTTATCAATCAAAGTACCCTGAGAACCCAAATCTCAAATTTAAAGTAAAAAAAAGATTTATACTCTAAACAGATCAGAGTGTTTACATGGCAATTTTAATTAGCAGTTACCTCTCTCACAACATCAGGAGTTCTGGTGTTGGCATAAATTTTAATGTGTATAGTAAATAACAGAGCAAACTAGTAATGAAGCGTGGTCACGCTGTGCACCATGACTGTGATTTCTGCCTAAACTGTCCAAATCCTAAAGCAGCATATTGGAAAAGATAACATGATTAGCGAATTTGTATGGTCAAGAAAGTGCTGCTTATTCCACCCATTGGTGCATATACTGCAGGGGCAGTCACAGACCTGGGCTTGTAGTATAGTCACCCCAGGCGTGACCAAGCTGATGGAAACTGGCTGTGTAGTTTTCACACAAACAGTAACTGATATCCTCATTGGGCTGTAAAGCTTACTGACTTACTGTGTGACACTAGATGCAATAGTAGGAGTGCTAAACTTTTGTTCGAGAGGATAAGCTCGAGAGATTTATGAAGTAGCAATCACATTGAATGATTGAATTTTAAAACAACAAGATTAAAACATGAACAGGATGTAGTGAAATGATGTTTGAGATCTAAAAATTTCAGGAAATGTTTTATTTTTTTTAATGAAAAAGAAATGATATATACCAGTAGATTTATTTGAATTCAGTTGAGAATTACTGATTGCAAAACAGTGATTACAAAGAAACAGGGAGTGAAGGGATGCAGAGATATTACTATATCTTGTCAGCATACAACCTCTTTTTGTTGTCTGTAGTGGGTTAGGCAATGGACAGATTTTTTTTTTCTAGTTTGTGTTTTGTTTTTTTTAAAAAAAAATTAGTACACTTCTATCAGTGACATTTTGGGACTCCAATTTCCAGTCTGTTATTGTTGATCAAGGTGTTGATCCTGAAATAACTCTTCAGAAAATAATTTGGTATCACTGAGTTTGTGGCATGACCAGCAAAGAACAGTACTATGTTGCAATTTTGAGGAAACATCATGCTCCAATACTTATTTGTAAATTCTGTTATCTTTAATGCAGTTTTCCAATTCATTTAGCTTTCAAGTTTAACTCCAAATTCCTATACACACAGTATTTATAAGTTAATTATTGTAAACTAGGAAAAAAAAGAATTTGTGTAAAAATTATCTAATATTGATTGTGTCAGCAGTAGTTACTGCCTTCACTTGGTAATGGAGTCTTAAAGCTACTTTCCGCCATGCTTAAGAACAGACATAATTTTTTTTATTAGTACAGTAAGAGTGGGTAACTAACCCTTCTTACTAGTCACTAGGCTCACTTTAGATCTCTCTAAGATTTAATTTATTTACTCTCTCTCTCTTATTTTCTCAAAAAATTGGCCTCAAGATCTAAATCTGTATATAACTGTGCCACCTGTTGGTGTCCCTCGAAAGAGAACTTTGATGTTGAAATTCCCCTTTCTAGGGGGTTAGGTGGAGTGCAAATTGCTGTAACATTTTATGAAGTGCTACTACTTTTTCTACTTGTAATGACTACTTGATTGGCTCATTATTGAAGGGAAGAGGTGGAGCCAAAGTTCAGTTTACCTGCTGTAGGGGAATAAAGCATTGTGAAAATGACTGCAACTTTAACAGAAGCATATTTGAAAATGTTGTTTCCTTCTTGTCCTGCTGTTTTGTAATTCATATAGTATGCTCTAGGCTGCTATTTTCTCTCCTTACTTTTTCCCCTTCTGTTTTTTTTCTTCTCGCTCAGAAACAGCATATCTTCAGCATTTCCCCTTGCTTCAGGTGCAAAGGCATATGTGAGGTTTTGAATGAAAATTAATGTTCTTTTCAAGGGTATTTGTTGTTTAATAGCTTGCTGGGATCCCTGTTCACTGCTATGCCAACATCTTTAAAATTGCAAGATAATTACAGAGAAATAAATTTTCAAAACTTGTAAACGTAAATTTCTCAGTGCTATAATCTAGAACATTGCCAACTATGGTATTTTCACAATATTTATTATATTCATATATAAATTCATCAGCATAGTGAGGTGAATTCATATTAATCAGTTTGAAAACTGAAAGTTTAAAACTGTCAGAAATTCAAACAAGAATTAAAACAAGATTATGAATACTAATATAGTACTAGTATTTGTCAGAAGGTATTGACACAAAGTGTCAAGTACGTGGGGAAAAAGTGTCTGCTTCAAGCTATGGGCAATTAAATTTATATGTGTAATTTATTTGTGTATGCTATTTGAGAGATGAACATCAACCATTCTGAAGATTTATTGTGAATGGTAATTCTTTTGGGCTTAATGCGATTTTCTTGCCTCAGAAGCTATCACTTAAGGTTCATGATTCATATTTCTTATATATAAAACCAAGTAGATCTGGTTCTTAAAGTACTCCATCTATATTAATTTTCTATTTTAGAACTTCTTATTGCTACATAGGAAATCCAATTCCTCCACCTACACTAAAGCTGTTTGATATCTTCTGTCGTATCTTTCGTGATTTATCTGTTTGAGAACAGGTTAAAATTAAATGCAGCATATCCCAGCAAAATGTGCTTCTGGTAAACTCAGCTTGATGGGTTTTTTTTTTTGTTTTCTTGATGAAGGAAATGTGGTGTGGGCTTTTGTGGTGTTTTTTTTTTAATCTGTTGAGGGTTTTTTTTGGTTATGTAGATGAAACTGGGTAAGGTAGTGATCAGCTTAAATTGTGATGTGAAGGGCCTAGCCAAAAAGAGTTAACTGAGGCTGAAACAGAATTTTTGGGACAGAAGAAATGTATTGTTTAATGCTTTTATTAATGGTATTAGAATGAAATGTATATTTATGAAATACTCTAGGGAGTTTGAATCGTGAAATTAAGTGAAATACAGTAGTACAAATGCATGATTGTGAAGTTAGGACCAGTAAGATAGACTGAAATAAGCTGAGGATAATCCTTGGTACTATTTAGAAGGAGAAAGATTGGGTGAATTTGCTTATGGCAGTGTTATCATAAGGCATCTAAATAATGAAACAGGCATCTAAATAATGAAGTGTGAATCCTGGTGTGTCAGAATAAATGTCTGCAGTAAGGATTGGAAGGTATTAATGTCATCAAGCGCTAGCAAAACTCCATGAGACACTGCTGCATACTTCTCATCAGTCATATTTGAGAAGGTTGAATGAAAACTGCAAACGGGCGCAGAGAGGACTGGTGGAGTAAATAAAGGAATGGAGGCTCGTGTCGCAGGAGGAGTCTGAACAGCACAAGTTTGTTTCTTTGGCAAAACAAAGGGTTGGTAGGGATGCTTGTTGTCTAAAATATGTGAAGTGTTAAGCATTGCAGTGAAAGGAGTGTGATTTCAGTAAAAGTGTTAGCACATAATACAATGGATATAAATTATGCATTAACAAATTTAGACTAAAAAGAGAAAACAAGTGATAATGAGAACACAGAGTAGACTGCAAAATCTTGGAGCTGCTTTTCTCTGTTGGTATGTTAGATGGTTGATCATTTGCTTGATTGAATGCAGCTTCTCAGCAAAGCTTACAACAATATCAAAGTTCACTAGCTATGAAACAAAGCCAGTTTGTTTCTAAATAGGTTAGATTTTTCTGTTATCAACTTCTCAATATGTTATCCACTTCTCAATATGTTTTGCATAATGGTGCTTTAGATGCACATTTAAGTTCTTGGTGTGTTCAGACTAGTTAATTCTGAATTGATTTGGGTTTGATTTCTGATGAAAATAAATCCACACAGCACTGACAGTTCATTGCATAAATGACAAAACATCAGCATACAGAATAATTGCATTCAAAAAAGGTAAAAATTTTCACTTTCAGAAATGAATGGAAAGCTGCATCAGTTTTAGTCTAGCTAGATGTCAGGCAGGGAACTCTTTGGTCTTAATTGAAATGATATGTTAGGTATTTTTTAACAAATAAGTTATCAAGCATTGGAGTGGTTTTTGGTATAAATTATTAACCTTATTCTTCAGAGTACAAAAAAAATGCTGTCAGCATTCTAACACAGCCCCTTCTAAGGGGCTATATTTCCTGGGGCAGCAAATCTCTGATTATTACGTACAGTGCTTTGTGAACATCTAAAAGTTATTTTTGAAGAAGCTGCCAAATTGTTTAGCTGTTTTGGCTTTCATGGGAAGACTTGATGAGTGTTGGCTGCCAAACCTATGTCAGTTCAAAAAAAGATTTTGTGGTATGAGATGTTTGTGTGGCAGCAAACATTACCAATATCCACTTAATTTATTTGTTCCATTTGGTGCATGTATGCATTTTTCAGTGGTTGTAAATCGGGAAGACTTTCCACAGTTCACAAATAACAAGATGTCATTTTACTTTAAAATTTGTTTTATTCAGTGCACAACAAGGATATACTGCTACAGAAATTTTATTTTACTTCTTGCTTTCACTTCCCTTTCCTTTTCTTTTTCTGAATAAAATCTGCTGATATGACATCTGCTTGTTATATTTTTAAAGAACTAATATGTTCCTCACTTAATTCTCTTTTGTTGTCTTCCTACCTATCTGTTTTTCCCCAAACTGCTGCTTTCATCCCTACTCCAACCAGCTTGACTTCCAGGTCAGTATTTTCTGCTCTCCTAATTAACTGCTGCTTTCACCATGAAGGTTTTCATTGATGCTTCATTTATTTGGCCACTTTGATTCCATATTAATACCTTCTGGTATTGTTTTTTTTGTTTTTTTTTTGTTTCTTTTATTATGCTTGTTCGTATAGTGAAGTTTTTGGTTATTCCATTTCTAGATCAGAAACTTTACAGAAAATGAATGCTTTTATCAAAATTCTGTAAGAAAAAAATGTTTATTAACAACATATTCAATTCATATGTTGTTTTGTGTGAAGATTTTTTTCTTCTTTCAGTTTTACTTTTATTATTTTGGTTTAGGGAGTTTGACATTGGTAATGACTTTTTGGTAGGCAACCCAACCCAGGAAGTAGTGGACTGAATAATAACAGTAGTACAGAGGGAGATTTATTCCTAAGGTCAGAGATTTATTCTTAATACTTTATCATTACCCCTTTTACTGTTATTGCAAACAAAATGGGATGAGTTGAAGTGGTTTAGCTTTTGGTTCAGAAACTCTAGCTGTTTGTCCTGGCCAAATTCCGGACCAGTACAAAACTGCAAGGGAGATGGATGTCCGTCTATGTTTATGTTTTTATGTAGCCAGACTCGTGTTTTGTTTCCAGATTTTAGGTTAATTTTGAGTTTGTGCTTGTGCACTGTTTTTGAGTAATCTTATCAACAAGTATTATGACGTGTCTAGTGGTGCTTGAAAATAAAAATTGACCTAGTCAACCTTTTTTTCTCTTTCTAGACCTTGATGTTAGTTTTTCTTTCTCGTGCTTATGAATGGCTGTCAAGAGTAAGTTAGCAAAGTCTTATATTTTAGCAAAGTCTCGTATTTTAGAAACCAGTAACTTTATGTGGTTTGGAATACAAGTTCATCTGCTTCTTCCTTACCCCATTAATGTCAGAGTGTGGCATTTTTTCCTTTTTTTTTTCTCCTTCTTATTCCTGTGACAGTTATATGAGACAGTTCTATACTCTTAAGTTTATCTGTTATTTTTCACTTTCTGAAAATGGTGATTGAAACTTTCACAGTGTTTTGCTTCCTGTACTGAAGGAGCAGGAACAGACCTGAGTTTTAGTCATTATCAAGGTAGAAGGTGTTTACTTCTGCGTAGATCAGTCATACTGGAGGATAAAGGAGAGTGTATACTGCAAAGACTTTCCGGGTGGTTTTCAGCTACCAAAGTCTGGCATTTGCAGATATGGTTCCAGGTGTCAGGTTGCCATGCAGCACATTTGACTAGAATCAAGGCAAATGTTCCATCTGTTTTTATAATGTCTTCAGATCTGAAGTTTCCAGAATTGTTATGTCGATGTATACTTTTTACACAGCTTTGTTCTCTATTCGTGTAGAAACAGAGCTTGGCAGTTTGGGAGAGTTTTTGTACATTAGTCTCAAAATGAAGCACAGTTCACGTTCCATGGTTCAGCCGTGTCAGAGAAGTTGCTGATGTGGCTGCCTTCAAACTGTATGGCAAAAGGTGGCTCATTATGAAAAGATTGACAAGATAAGGGTTTATTTCCTGATGCACTTTAATGCACATCACAATCACAAGTTGCTTTCCAGTTGGAAAATTTTATTTCTGAAATTTGAGGCTTATTGATTGCAGTAAGGTATTGAATGAATACTTTCTTTTTATTATCTTTTTACTACAAGCACATTTTACTGTACTTAAATGGATAATTATCACTCCTGAATTATAAAAGTACTTAATTTATTTTCAGAATCTTTTTTTTCCAAAAAAATTAATTTAATGCATTTACTCTGGAGTTTGCTATGATGAAATCGTTGTCTGAATGTGACTACTCGGCATTTCTATCAGAACATATTCAGTATTGATTGAAAACGTCTCTAGCCAGAGGGAGCTTAAAGAAAGGTATTATTCTATGCACTTGTCATTATGGTTGATTTCACTGGAATTCAGTGATTGGTATGCAGAAACATTTGTTCAGCACTTGGAGGTGCAATTTCTGTTATGTTTTATTGACCTAAAAAACCAGCTGACCTTGCTGAAGTAAACTGTCCTCATAACCCTGCCAATTTTCATCCCTAGAGTCCCAGATATGTTGTAGCATGATTAGAGTTTATTGTGGGATTTCAGTGAAGTGTTTAGTTTTCGCAGCTTGAATCATCATTAAGGTCAAAACTTAACTTAAGAAATAGGTCTATTAATTTATTCAATTTCTGCTAATCAGTGTGTTTTAGCTGTCATTTTATTAATCTGTATTTATATGGGGCTAGAATAATTAGAAAAATACTGCATCTGTTTTATAACGTGAGTGGCTATTGATACTGATGGCAAACAAGAAAATCAAATACATTGGCATAACCCTTCCACCATTTTTGTCTACCTATACAGTAAAAAAATGTTCTGAGCACGAGGATCAATGCAGTAACTTTTTTTCATTTAGGTTACAGCCGGTTATATACTCCCCAAACTTTTTTGCCTGTAGATAAAGAGATTAATATTTTTTCCATGTATAATATACTAACCAGTGCTAGAAATTTTCACACCAGCTTCTGTTGTTGGCCTTTCTAATTGTTTCCATGGGAGACTAGAGCTCAACGAGATGTGTAAGGCAAGGTTTAACAGAGTTTTAAATTTAACTTACGAGCCTTCCACAGTTTTGTCAAACGTCAGTTTGATGGTTCCAAGGGCAGAGTGATATGTTGTTCAAAGATAATTTCCTTGGAGAAATTGAGATAGTGTACTAATGAAAACTGAGAGAATCTGTGATATACATTAGTCTTCTGAGAGACTGGTTATTCTAAGTGAGAAACAGTTGTCACATTGGATACAGGCAGATTGTTGTCATGTCTTTCTCTCTTCTGTTTGCTACATATCCAGAATCAACATTTCAACATTGTGAACATTTTAACATTTAAATGTTTTGTAAGAGATGAAGATTTGAGTAGAGATTATTTAGATTTATCTGAGTATATACACGGTTTTGAATATGTCTATTTACATTTCATTTTCTTTAAGAAAGAGTAAAGTGGAAAGCTTATTTCCTTAAAATTCTGCTTCCTTAAAAGAGAAGGAAAATAATACATTACAAAATATGTAGAAGTCGTGGTGATAAACAATTACAAGATGCAAATGGGTCCCTGGGACAGGATAATGGACTGTTGTTATTTTTATTCCACTGTCTAACTGGAAGTGAGCCCTGTTGACTGGGAAAGAGATTACTCTTTCTGTTTCCCAGTTATTAATTTCAAGGCTGAGCCATATTTCCTACGCTTCTCAATCTGCTGCTTCCACTAGTTTTCCCCAGAGTGAAGATCTACAGAGCATATTTCTTTACCTCTTGAATGTGTGAATAAAGTAGCTGTAGAGCAGTCCTCTGGGGAGCTTGGTGACTGCCTGGGTGCAACACTGTCAGGATTCCCTGTGTACAGTGGAGAGGTGTGTGAGTGAGGAATCGTGAGATAGCACAGCTTACCCTCGAAAAGCTGTGACTGAAAAGAGACAGGGGGACTAAATTTAGGAATTGGGCTGTGGTGGAGCTACTTCTTCCACTTAGTTTGCTTCCATAGTGCAGGAGCAACATGCCTGGACAACGTGATCATGACTGGATTGAAATGCTCTGATCAGAGTTTGTAATAAGGGCAAGTTAGTTATGTCAAAACAAGAAATCATACAAAGTGTGCCTGATTTATTTGGAGGTCTGAAGAGGTTACTACAAAAGTATGGAAAGTTTGATTTACATATTGAATGGTAATGGCTGGATCCATCCTGAGAACTGCTAGGTTGAGCCAGAGATTGCAGTCAAAAGATGTGATTCAGGAGGAAATGGCAATGAAACATGAAGTGCAGCAGCAGAAGTTTGATCCTGATTGCTGTCAGGGTGACTTGGAAATGCTGTGGAACAGTTGGATGCAGAGAATAACTGGACGGAGTCAGAAGTTGGTGTCTTTTTTTTCCATTTGTTTGCTTGGGGTCTTTTGTTTGTTTGAGTTTAAAGGGGGAAAAAAAAAAAAAGGAAAAAAGCTTACCTAGGCAACAGCTTGAAAGGCCCTGATGAAGCAGCAGCAGGATTGCAAACCTGGGTTGCAAATATCGAACAAGAAACAATTTCCGGATACTGGCTACAGTTAATGGTATCCATTAAGTAAACTAGCTGAGCAAGCAATTGCCATATTAAATCAAATCCAATATTCCTCTCATCTAGTGTCCTGTTGTCAGCAGTGTTATATGTATTTTATATTTTTTTAAAAGAACTTCGGAAAAAAATGCAGAACAATCTTGGGTGTACGAGGGATGTGTGACAGATGAGACTTTTGTATGGATTTCACATATGTTCATATGAAGTGTCATCGAGTAGGAATGTTCTGAGAAAGTTGCACTGTACTGAAATTCCAATGGTTGCAATGCAGATACATGTTGAAACAAGATGATACGAACCATAGTTTGGAACTCGATTTTAGTAGGTCTTTTTCATTCATGCATTATACTTGTCTAGATATTTCCAGCATCTCTCTAGGGCTTTAGAGGGAACTGTGTCAGACTAAACACTTCTTAAACGAAGATTTTGGAAAGCTTCCCAGATGGTGTGTTAGTTAAACCCTTCCTTCCACTTCTTTGTTTTTGAGGTGAGAAGGGTTTCAACGACTTCTGTGACACTCGCGTTATTTCTGCCAGACAGAGTTGTTGGTTCTCTGAAGGCAGCAATATCTTTTTGTGGTGCATTTGGAGGCAAAATCGTTGTCACACTGAAGCACTTTCGTAATTTGAGTATTAAGAAATCTTAATCTAGGTTTCAAACATTTGAAATAATGACATTTAAAGGGAGAAAAGAAAGAAGAAAAAAAGAAAGGTTTATTTGAATTTGTGGGAATTTTTTTTTTAATGCAGCAATAGAATTGCCTTGTGTATATAGAGACCTGTCAATCTGTGTGGACTGTAAGCTCTCTCCTCTGAGTGAAACTGAAATAGCTGTGTAATCCGTTGGTAACAGGAGCTGGGAATGTAATGAAAACACTGAA